CCCCCCCCCCCCCCCCCCCCGTGTCTGTCTGTGTGTATGTTGTGGCCTTCTAAGATGCTTTGGGCTGCATCAGTGACATTAGATGACCTAGCTGCTAAATATGGTAGTTATAATTGGTACTGACCAGTGGGAGGCACTGTGTGACCAGTTCCAGCCTTATTGGGACTAGACAGTCTCCATGGTTCAAATCCTTTGAGCCTCTAATATGAGGCCCAGTAAGCTACTTATTACTTATACTGGCCTATAAGTTTAATAAATAAATAAGCAAGCAAGCAAGCAAGCTCTCCAGCATGAGAGTATGTAAGGAAGGAGAACCGCTGTAGCTCATTTGGTAGTGTAATTCCTAACATTCCTAACCCCACCCCACCCCAGCAACAACCACAAAATCTCCAAAGGCAACCTCTAGAAGTGGGACAAAGAAAAACCCAGCCCTGTACATCGTGGGGATAATTCCTCCACGTGCTGTGAGGACGGATCTCGAGGATCTTTTCTTTGTTGCTGTTATTGTGTATTCTCTTCTCTTCAGTATCTGATGGAAGGTAGTTACAACAAAGTCTTCCTGGCCAAAGGCAACATCCCGGCGGAGAGCTATGCGTTTTTCATCGACATCTTGCTGGACACTGTCAGGTGTGGTGATTCAAGCCTGCGTCCTGCCTTCTTTGAAGCGGGGAGGGACTCTTATTATAAGCAGGCCTACTAAGGGTGAACCGTACTTAAAAAGGTAGTCCTTGAGTTACAACTGCTCGTTCAGCAACTGTTCAAAATTATGACAGCACTGAATGTGTGGTACTTAGGACCAGTCCTCGACATTCCGGCCATCGCGGCACCCCCGTGGTCACAAGATTGCAATCCGGGTGCTTGGCAACCAGCTCACACTTAGGGCAGTTGCAGTGTCCTGTGGTCACGTGATCGCCATTTGCAGCCTTCTCTGCCGGCTTCCCACAAAGAAAGTCAATGGGAAGGCCAGCAGGGAAGGTCACAGGTTGCTCCCATAAGTCGCTCCCACTGCTTTTTCTCCTGAGGAACCCCACCATGGAATACGAGATCTCAGGGATCTCGTACTCCATAGCACCCTGCCCGCCTGCAGCCCCTGCTGGCCCACCCACCCATGCTCCCTATCGCCCACCCACAGCACCCCCACACTTTTTACCTTGGACTCTCACCTCTTCCCACTTAACGACCTGCGCATTCTGGGGTCATGATGGCAGCCGAGATTGCTGTTGCTAAGTGATGCGGTCATGTGACATCGCACTTTACAACCGAATTGCTTAGCAATGGTGATCCCGGTCCCAATTGCTGTCATAATCCGAGGACTACCTCTAATTTGAACCTGGAGGGAAGAGGGGAAGATTTTGAGGGAATACAGAGTATTCCTTGAGTACCTGTTTCATTCTCTACATAGTCGTAAGTGTGAGAATTACCAGTTTCACATGTTGCACTAACCATGGTCAGGTTTAATCATGGGTAGACAAGATTTATGCATTTTGCTAAGCCGTAAACTGGGGTTTTACAGCCAGAGCAGTTGAGTTTTACCAGTTTAATTTACTAGTTTAGTTTTAAACTAAAACCTTCTAGAAAACCTTCTGGCTTAGAAGGTTCAGTCCAGCCCAATCGTATCAGCATTGAAGTTCCCATCAGTTTCGGCACAGCACCGGCCCCACTTGCCCATTGACCTCTGAGCGGCTTCCTCCCTTTGCTGGGCCTTGCTCTGAGCACTTGTTTCCCAGCTTGTGCTAATGTGGGTTTTCCTGTCCCGTCCCAGGGATGAAATTGCCAGCTGCATCGAGAAAGCTTATGAGAAGATCCTGTTCAACGAGGCCACCCGCATGCTCTTCTTCACCCCCAAGAAGATGTCCGACTACGCCAAGAAGGTGAGGTAGCAGGGTTGGGTGAGTAAGCCGGACACCTGCTTCGTGGACTAGGGCCCAGCTGTTCCTTTGTTCTTCTCGAGCCACAAGCATGGCCCTGCAGATTCTTGAGCTGCTTTTGGTTTCCTCTGTGGGGGACTTTGCAGTCCATGTGCCCCACCCCATCATGCTTAGGCTAGTGCTCACAAATGCTGGTTCTTTGTTCAGTTTCATCCTTCGGGGAATTGTTTCTGAGGCGCTTGGCACCGTGCTAGCTATCTTTTGGAAATTTATATTTGCCAGAAGGCAGGTTCCCTCCCCAGATAGTTACCTAAATAGGGCTTTTCTTTTCTCTTCCCTTCTTTCTCTTCCTGCCTCCTTGTTTCCATCCAGATGTTATCCTCCTTTACTCTTCCCTTTTCTTCCCTTTCCACGCAGGTACCTCCTTCCCTTCCCCTCTAGTTTGCTGTTTCTGCTACCAGGAAAAATACTGTGTTTTTCTCTGGGAACAGTTTGTGTGTGAAAGGCAAAAGACCGAAGGGGATCTCTTCGTTTTGCCGCTCCCTGTGTCACGTAGAGTTTTGTAAAAGGGTCTCTTCCCTTATGGCAGTGAATTTTCCTGAGACGCTGTTGCTGTGGCCCTGCCTGATCTGTGCACACCCTTAAACCCCCTTCTCATGTGCCTTCTTCTCATCCCTTTCAGCGGGGTTGGCTTCTCGGCCCACACAGCCACTACTGTTTCATGGGACAGCAGCAGAAACCGGAAGACGCCACCATCCCCTCTACAGAGCTAGCTAAACAAGTCATCGAATACGCTCGGCAGTTGGAAATGATCGTCTAATGTACCCTTGCTGCAGGCTGGGACTGTGGGCTGTTGCTTCTCCCCATTATGGGCCCCCCCCCCCCCACTTTGTGCCAGTTCCTATTGACCTGGCAGCCTTTTTTCTTAAACGGGAAAAACGGGAGCGATTGGCGGTGGTGTAGTTGCTGTCTCTTGCTCCTGGAATGCTTGAGTAAAGCTGGCAAGCCAGGCCGCTCCCTGTGTCATGTAGAGTCATTTTGTTCCTTGGTCCCAGGTGGAGAGAGGTCCTCTGAGCATGGAAGAGAAGCTGATGGTCTTGGGCTTTTTTGACTGCAAAGGGAGGGTGGAAACTCCTTTTTACAAGCGGCCTCCAAGTATCAGGGCCAACTTCACATTTGCTCGTGGTCGTGACTATCCGCAGCAGTGTTTCTCAACCTCAGCAGCTTTAAGATGGGTGGACTTCAATTTAAAGTTGCCAAGGTTGAGAAACACTGGTCTGCAGGATCCTCCAGTTTTACCAGAAAGAAGAGTTCTTCTGTTGTCTGATCAGGACTGAATTAAATAGCTCTCCGAAGAATTGTGATCAGATTTTTTTTAAAATTTAGGATCGTGTTTGCTTTCTTTGTGGAACTCCCTTAATGGAATAGTTATAGGTTAAATACAGCTTCTTCTTATAAACATGATTATCTATATTATTGCTATGCCATGGTTTGCTTCCCCATAGCTGTGGAAAAAGCCACAGTGGTCTTGGATCCTACATCAAAGTAAGCCTGGATCAGCCAAGCCACCTTCTGGCTTAACGTGATGTTTGAGCCCAGCATAGCTGTTGTAAGAAAAACCCAACATGACTACGGTGGGAGGTGGCAAACTGGCTGACCTGATTATTACCTGATTATTTCCAGCCTGGGCCTCCAGCTGCCTTGAACTAAAATCTCAGACTGTTCATGTCGCATGACCACTGGCTAGGCTGTCTGGGAACTGTAGCCTAGTGCACTGGGAAGGTCCTAGGTTGCAGAGGGTAGTTTGGACATGAACCCCCTCCTTTCCACACCGCCCCTTTGTATCCCTACTTGGGCCTGGTTCTCCAAAGGGAACCCATATTTTGTTCAACCGCAGCTGATAAGCCACAATGGCTGTTTCCCCTCAAGCCAGCAGACATTGATGTCTGGTGTCTGAATCCAGCCTGGACTGCTACCTAGAACAAATGACTAGATTTGGAGTGCCTCCATTCAGTGCACGTGGCTTTCATACCAGCTTTGGTTGGCTGACCTTGGGGCTCTAGTGAACAACCAAATGAGATCCCAGAAGCCTGCTCCATCCCCATCCCCATCCCCATGGATAGGACAGTCCTCTTCCTTCTCCCTTATGGGATTTGCTTGCTTGATCCTATGTATTAGCCAAGACCCACGAAGGTGACCAGCTGAAGAGGAGATGCTGGTGAGCGGAGGGAGAAGAAACGCTTGTTCTGATCTGGCTTCTGTGGCACCCAGAAGACAAAGCAGCAGAGAGGTTTTTTCTCAGGGCATTGGCTGAGAGCTCTGCTTCAGCCCGAACGTTTCCCGGGACAGCTCCTGGCAAATTGCAGCACACCGTAATACACGAGCAAAGCCAAGGGCCCAGCCTGGTGGTGTACAAGGTTTATTGAGCAGGAAGCCTGGAGAAGCCATTCAGTCCTCGTTGGCGATGTGTTGCTGTTTGTAAGAATCCAGGCAGAACTTGGTCCCGGCAACCAAGGAGACGGCCAGCATGGCAGTAGCAACCCAGGGAGGCTCTGTCAAGTGGTTGGCAGAGGGGTTGAGCCTGGAAGGAAGGAGTTAAAATCAAAGGGTGAAGAGTCTGCCTTCTTCATGGTGCGACCTCAAATGATGGATGAGACACAAATCCTTGTGAGGACGTGTTAGTCACCCTGCCAAGGTATTCTGCAAACTAGTCTGCGCTTCTGTGGGAGTTTGCATAGGAGTTGACTATCGGCGAATTTTTTATGCTGGCTTTTTGCTTTTTCTAGCTCCCCCCCCCCCCATGCTGGCAATCTATTACTGCATGCAAGAAGCAGGAGCATCGAAACTAATTTTAAAACAGAGTTCGCCTATTGCCCCAAAGGGATTCAGATTCATTGCTTCCAAACAAACCATATTTTGTAAGTCTACCATCCTTGCTCTGATCCTGGCTTGTGAAAGGTACAACCAGCCAGGTTTGGGCAAGGCCTTAAAAGCATTTTAACAGGAGGAGTCGAGCAAGTGGTAACGTGTTCTCCTGCTTACTAGGCTCTGGATTGTGTGTTGAGGAAAATGGGATTCTGGACATGATGCTGTAAACCAGTGTTTCTCAAACTTGGCCACTTGAAGACGTGTGGAATGGCTGGGGAATTCTGGGAGTTGAAGTCCACACGTCTTCAAGTGGCCAAGTTTGAGAAACACTGTAAATGATGCAAACTGTAGGAATGTTCATTCTACCTCTTTGCATGGTTTTGTTGCTAATCAACATTATTTTGCCTAGCCACTTTTGAGCCTCCCTATTCCCAATCGCTGCCACGCTTGCCCAGCTGTGACCCGGCTGCAACTCCAGATGTCATTAACTGCCTGCTTATAAGAATACCATCACCGTTGGATTCTTCTCAAACTGTATTAAAAACGTAACGGATGCACCTAACGCTGCGTTCTGCCCTTTCCTTGGGTAAGTCACCGGAACGGTACCGGGATACATAAAAACTTTCCGTGCCAGTCTCATCCTGCCTCTGGACCTTGCCCGCCATTCGTGGGCCAGAATTGGCCACCCCAGAGCTTATGGGAGGACCCAGGTGAAGAGGCACCAGGCTTCGTAAGAGGGGTCAGACCACTTTGGACCTGTGTGGAGGACAGAGGGTGCTTGCTAGATAACAGTGGAGATGTTGAAGTCCACATGTTTTCAAGTGGCCAAGTTTGAGAAACACTGTTCAAAAGTGACTAGGCAAAATAATGTTGATCAGCAACAAAGCCATGCAAAAAGGTAGAATGAACATTCCTGCAGTTTGCATCATTTATAACAGTGTTTCTCAAACTTGGCCACTTGAAAACATGTGGACTTCAACATCTCCACTATTACCTAGCAAGCACCCTCTGTCGTCGTCGTCCTTCTGCAGTCCACTAGTCTTAGGCCTAAGAATGACAGGGCCGCCAGGTCTTTATATGCACCCCCCCTTAAAATCCCCAAATTAGTGGCCGCCACCTGTGGCCAGTACAGAGATGCTCGTTTTCCATTTGCATCTGGCCGCCCCAGAGGCGTTTCAGCTCTTGCTCACCAAGCCACAACGTTCTTGGGCAGCTTCCTCTGGTCCTGATGTTTGCAGTAGCATGTTCTGGGGCACGAATCGGCCACCTGGAAAGCTGGCCAGTGGCGGGCATGGGATCGGTCAGCCTCTGGATCTTCCTCGGCACTGGGCTGGGTGGAGGAGGCGTCCTGGTCAAGGCTGGTGGGCTTGTCCAGAGGAAGGGACAGTTCCTGGACATACAATGAGCTACAGGTAAGCTGGTTTTTATCCGGTCCCAAGTGGCTAGCAGAGATAAGTTCAGTGTAGCTTAAGGCCAGTTTTATTATTTCAGAAATTATCCAGACAATATTTTTTTCAAATGACTGGGTTCACCTACTGCGTTAAGTCATGCTTCATTTAACCACGATTTATTGCTAACCTCCTTTGCTGTGCTTAAGCATCATGCCGAGCTATAAGCCATGTTGTAGCCTACTAATTTTTCTTAAAAAGTGCGCAGGTAAAAAGGCCTTTTTTGAAGGCTTAATCTTGGTCCAGAGATATTTACGCTAGGGCCCTAGTCTTGATTGTGAAGCCAGAGTTGATTTTTTTAAAAGAAAAAAATATATCTGCCTCGATCTGAAAAACAAATACAGTGGTACCTCGGGATACGAACTTAATCCGTTCCGTGGCCCTGGGCGTATCCCGAGTTGGTCGTAACCCGAAATGTTCATTAGTAGAGGCGTTCGTAACCCGAGGTACCACTGTACTGCTTATTAAGTGGCCCACTGACACTCCCAGCAGAACATTAAAAATGCTGGCTGGGGAATTCTGGGAGTTGAAGCCCGTGCATCTTAAAGCGGCCAAGGTTGAGAACTCCAGGAGTTCACAGAAACTATGCCTCTGGTCCCACCTTTGCAGGGTGTCACAGGAGCGCCCCCCCCCCCCAGTTACTGAACACTACGGAGGAATCCAAAAGCACGCACTGCCCTCTGCATCTCCTGGTGACCAAGGAGGCGTCTGCTCCCAAACGTTTTCAGATCGGAAAAGGTCCGAAGTCATTTCTAAGCGATCATGAGAGAAGGGGAGGTAGGGGGTCATTGGGCCAAAAAAACACAAAAAAAACAACCCTAAACTAAATGCGGCCCAATCAACCAGACTCACCAAAGGCTCCCCGAAATAAAACGGTCTGGCCACCTTTTCGAACGGAGGAAAAAGAGGGACGCCGTCTAACCGCAGCTGGGAGTTCATTCCATACGCTCGGGGCCACGGCTTTGCTCCTTTCCCCTTGGAGGCTTTCACTTTCGGCTGCCCCGAAGGTTTTAATTTCTCCTTCGATTTGGGAGCGGCGAGGCTTTGCTTGCGGATCTTGGGCCTTGTTTGAGTCAGAGCTGGCCCCTTCGGGTCTGCCCCTGGTCCCACCGAAGCGCACGCCGGGGCCGAGATGGAAGGGCTCGGTGGGACCTCCGGGGTCTTCTGGGGAGAAGGCTGCCCTGGACCTAGGAACTGCACGGGGGCCGGATCTTCTGCCAGCGGAGAGACGATGTGCTGGGCAGCACTGGACGGGGCGCACTTCGCGGGGGACCTTTCCTTCGCCCCTTCTTCCAGACCTTGGAGCTTCCTGCAGGATCTTGGGGTGCTCCCATCGATTCACGCCACATTGGCTTGCTCCAGCAAGAGGGTGGTAACCATTGGGGAGGCCCCCGCCGCTTCGGCCCCTTTGCCCCCAATGCCGGGCGGGTCGGCGCAGTCGTCAGCGCCTTCTTCCCCGGCCCCCGCAGCCTCGTCCAGCAGCATCTCGCTTTCGTCATGCACAAACCAGTCGCATTTCGGGTCGCTGCCCAGGAAGGCGACCACTTGGGACACAGCCGTGCCGAACTTGGGGAGCTTCCTACCCTGGCCTTTACGACGCTGAGGGTACGGAGTCGGGGGCCGGGGTCTTTGCCACTCGGCCCGCTTGGGATTGCCGGTGGACAGTTCCTCAAAGAAGGTGACCACCTGCTGGGTGGGAGTGGAGGGGGCGGGTTCTTTGGGGGCCACTTTTTTCAAATGCTCCAGGAACAGTTGGCTGAGGGACGAGAATTCGTCCGAGTTGCTCCGGTCCAGCCCTTTGAAGGAAGGCAGCTTCTTGCCCGTCGAGCTGAGGTGCTGCAGGGCTTTGGGCAAGACGGGGGCGCTGGCGGGGGACTTCTTCTGGGGACACTGCTTCAGGACGTCGGCATAGGAGATGCCAGAGGAAATGACGCTGGACTTCTGCTTGACCGCCTTGATGCTGGGGGGCCACTGTCCCGGCTGGATGGTCACTTTGTAGAGGAAGTTGAGCCCTTTCTCCAACAATTCCTGCATCGTCTCCGAGTTGACGGCCTCCGGTCCTGGAGCCTCGCTCTTGGCCCCCACCTTGGCGTGGCTTCCTGCGGCTTGGAGCTTTTCTGGGGGGCCGTTGCAGGCATTGGCCCAGTCCACCGACAGCTGAGCAGCACCAGCTGGCCCTCGGAAGTCACCGTCGCTCCCAGGGGCGTTGTCCGGCTGCCCGGTCTGCTCCTTCTCCCTCTGGCTGGCCCCCCACGACAGTGGGACCTTCTTCACGCCAGGTGGAGCGATGCAGCCAGAAGGAGCCGGCCTGCACACGTTCTTCTCATTCAGGGACCTAGAGCCCGGGCCCCCCAAGGGGTCCTCGCTCGCCTTCAGAGCCTCCGCGCCATGCGTCGACCCCCCCGCCTGTTTCTTCGCTGAAGGGAGAGGCTCTGGCTGCCAGTCCTCGTCATCCAAGCCTTCCTTACTGCTAGTCTTAATGTGCTGAGTCCAACACACCTGGGTTTCCACCACCACCTTGGGTGTGTCTCCTCCCTGGCTCACCTCTGCCATTTTCCCAGGCGGAAGTGGCGTTCCCCCTGTGCCCTTGGCAAGATGGGCATTTTCTGGCTTGCCCTTCCCTTTACTCGGCGCCTTCTTAGCACTCAAATCTCGGGGGTCAGGGTGGGTGGCGGCTGCCGGAGAGGACCTGAGAGCCATCTTCAGGCCTTTGGGCTCCTCTTGGAGACCCTGCCCGCTCTGGAGGTCAGCCCTGCTCAGACAAGCCAGCCCCCACTTCTCTGCCCCTAGGTCCTTGTCACAAAGGCTGGCCTCCTTCATCCCACCACTGGCCGAGTTCTGGGCCCACATGGAGGAGAGCTTCAGCTTGGATTTTTTGGAATGATTCTTCCCCATCTCTGCCGTGCCGGTCGGTCTGTCCCCTCCTCCTGGTTCGCTGCTCAGGGTCTGGCTGACCACTTTCCGTTCAGGGGCCTGAGGACCAGGGGACCGGCTTCCCGGATCATGTTTGGTTCCACTCGACTCCCGCTCTGACTTGCTCAGGTCCGGGTGGGCTTTCTCCTCCCCGTCTTTGGCGGACTCTGATTCTTGGGTGGCTTCTGATTGGACATTGCCCATTATATACTGTCATCCTGGGGATAAAAGGATGGAGTGAGACGCAAGGAGGAAGAGGCCACAGCTGTGCGGGTGGCTCGGGGAGTTTGGGGTTTACGAGGGACACGGGAGATGACTTGCGGTGGGGGCGTGGAGTGCCAGGATGCCAGGGAAGTGCAAAAAATAGCAGACCAAGCATTCAGGTCACTGTGATAAGCGTGAGAGAGGGTGAGGAGGGTGGGAAAGGGATGTGAGAGAGAAGCCACCGAGCAATGGGGGGGGGGTCTGTCAGTAGCCAAAAATCAGATCAGGTGCCTTTTCTGAAAACGTGTTAGTCGGAAAAGGTGCTACCCTTCTGATTTTTCTCTCCCATAGACCAGGGTTTCTTAACCTCAGCAACTTTAAGATGGGTGGACTTCAACTCCCATGGCTGGCTGGGGAATTCTGGGAGTTGAAGTCCACCCATCTTAAAATGCCGTAGACTAATGCAGCTCTCCTCCTACAAAGTTGGTAGCTTTTCTCATGCCCAGCAAGTAAGGGCAGGCGACGCGAAACCTGGGAAGAAACGTTTCGAGTGACTCCCCCCGAAGGAACCCACAAGTGAGCCTTGGGAATATCTGTGGTTTCCAGGAGTCTCTGTCAGCCCCAAGACTAGCGTTTAGACAAGTCTGTCTGATTCTTGATCTCGCCCAGAGGGATGGGGCTTGACAGTAAGGAAGTGAGGTGCCCGGACCAGCTCCTGGGGTGCAGCGGCCTGGTCATGGGGCCCGCGAATGTGGGGAGCTGCGGATCCAACCCGAGGGCAAGCCCCTCGATTTAGTCCATTGCTTTGAACTTCTGATGGAACTAGCCATGGGGGGGCAGGAAGGTCCTGTGCCTGGCATGCCAAGGCTCGTGGGGCACCCTCGTTTCCCATGTAGTGGTTTAGTTCATGTGTTTCTGTCCCTTTGACCCCACAGACCCTTGGATCTTCCAGCTGGGGGTGCAAACCATGCCTCTCCCCTCGGAACAGAGGATGCTACCCCGAGCAAATCCACCTGTCTTAGGGGGAAAAAGAATACTTCTGCCCTTACCCCCGGGCGAGCTAACCCTCTCCTTTCCCCGCCCCTTTCCCCACGGTTGCTCCACCCCCTGGTGCTTTAGCCACCTCCTCCAAATTACGCCCCTCCCGCTCACCGTCTGGCTTTTGCGGCTGCTCCCGGACGGAGCTGGGGAA